ATCTTCCTTTTGCTCGTTTATTTATTTTTGGTTGGTATGGAAAGCACCTATTTTTATGCCCCAAACTCCAATTTAGTACCATCTGACCTCAGTTATGATCTTTATGACTTCTGACATTCTAGAAAATAAAACTCATGGGTTTCATATACAAAGATTACCAAGTTCCTAGAAGCATTTATTAATAGTAAGTAGCTACCATTGAGGGGCTTTTTTGACTTTTCTAAATTGGCTATCCGCTGGTTCCTCATGGTTTTGAATAAGAGTTTTAAATGATTTTGAAATTTTTTTGAACAATGATTTTGAAGAACTAGTGTTTAGTTTTGGCCCAACCTCAGAGTCTATTTTAAAGCCACCAGTATTCAACCATAGGGGCTCCACCTTGATGGCTTTAATCCTCACCACCATAGTTTAGATGTGTTCACCCTCTTAATTCACAATGGAGTTTAAATTCCAAAATGGTTCAGAGGGGACAAACCATATTCAAACCATAACAGGTTCCAACTGGATAAATTAATTCCAGATGACTTAAGTTATAGGCCTTCCAAAGCCCTCATCAAATTGTTCAGTAGCCTTATTATGCCAATTCTTCCCTTGTTTCAGGAACAGCTATTAAGTTTTTAAAATTTACTTTGACCACTGATGTTAATGTGTTTGATGAATTCTTTCTCCAAAAATCCACTCTAGGTAGAATAAAAAAGTCAAGAAATGAAGTAATGTTATTTGGCCAATCATGTATGTGTTTGTGTTTGAACTTAAGAAAATATTTCTTAATTTTACTGTGAATAGAGATGTTTTATCTGTTAGTTTTACAAGATACCATCTTAAATATGTTTGTAATTAACAGAATTTGTAAATTGATATCTGTTTTATAAAAAGGCTTAAAATTTTAATTTTTTCTTTTTAGGAATCTATTCGATGGTTAGAAGATGAAAAGGCTCTCCTAGAGATGACTGAAGAAGTAGACTATGATGTAGATTCATATGCTACACAACTTGAAGCGATACTTGAGCAAAAAATAGACATTTTAACTGAGCTGCGGGGTAATTCTTTTTTTTTTTTCATTTTATTGTTTGGTATGAAATCTGTTTGGTATTGGGGTGTACATATTACCAGTTGTAGGATTTCCTATTGCAATATGACAATAATGAAGTGTGAATTATGAGTACCATTTTATACCTTCTTTACAGACGTATAAAGATGAACTAACTAGTCTGGTTTTTCCTAAATAAAACATGAAGTGTCATGTCATTTCAAGTTCTTCCTAGTCATTTTTTTTTTAGTCCTTTGAAAAATAAAGGCATCTTATGATTAGTTTGCAAGTTTTATGTCCCACTCAGATACTTAGTTGGTAGGCCAGTGCTTGTCAGAATTATTATTCTTATATTAGATCTGTTCAAGGTCATCATTGAATAATGTCTATCTTCATCTTTCTGTGCTAAAAGTAAACAAAGGTAAAGTTATTGAGATGACTACCCTTTTCACCTTACTTATGAAGGGAAGTATGTGGTTCACCTATATGCCATATCTTTTTGACTTTTTAAAATAGCTTATCTGTATTACTTCAAATATGTACTTGTGATTGTGCTAATCTGTCTCTTGCTTAATGCAGGATAGAATGTTTGCTGTGTGTATGTAGAGTTTTTAGCAGCAAATAGGGTGCTTAATTTTTAAAAGTGGGCCCTTCAAGAAGTTGGTTATTATAGAAAAAGGCTCATTTCCAGGAATTTGTAATGAAACATAGTCGACGGCTGGGGTTGTAACTCAGTGGTAGAGTACTTGCCTAGCACATGTGAGGCACTGGGTTCAATTCTCAGCACCACATATAAGTAAATAAGTTAATAAAGGTCCATCATCAACTAGCATTATATTTAGTTCTGAAGGAACAGAAGGGAAAATAGTGATTTAATGTTATGAAATGAGCGCTAATCTTGATAGGATCCATATAGTTGTATACTATTTTTGCATGCAATACTTATTCCTTTGTTCTTTCTTTTTCCAAGATAAAGTGAAATCTTTCCGAGCAGCTCTACAAGAAGAAGAACAAGCCAGCAAGCAAATTAACCCCAAGAGACCCCGTGCCCTTTAAATTGGTATTCGCTGCGGAAGGATCCCCAGAACCCTCACTACTTACTGTAACATAAAATGGTTCAGCTGTAAGGGCCATTCGAAAGTTTGAAATTTTAAGTGTCTGTGGAAAATGTCTTGTCCTTCACCTGAATGACATTTCAATTTTGTGAAACACTCAAAAGTCTACAAAATGCTTCTAGTCCAGGAGGCACAACGAAGAGTTGGAATTAGTGAAGCATTTTGTTTCATTTACCCAAATAGCGATTTACTTTTGGAGATCCTTGCCAATTTTATTTTCTATGTGATGAAGTAAGATTGTGGACTTGATCCAGAGGTGAATTGTAGGGAGAAGCCACAGCATTTCCTGTTAACTCAGTTCAATTTTCATAGCGAGATTGAACAGTTTTAAATCCTTTGCGTGCATGCATACCTCATCAGTGATTGTACATACCTTGCCTACTTTTAGAGAGCTGTGCTCACCTTTTCCTGCTCTGTGCCTTGATTAAGGCTATCGACCCTAAATTTCTTAAGCACAGCCATGATAAATTACATTCCTTATTTGTCATTGTAAATTACCTTTATTGTGTGTACATTTCTACTGTGTTTGAGACATTTTTTTGTGTGACTAGTTAATTTTGCAGGATGTGCCATATCATTGAACGGAACTAAAGTCTGTGACAGTGGACATAGCTGCTGGACCATTCCATCCTATATGTAAAGAAATCTGGAATTATGACTTTAAAACCATAACGTGATTTTAATTTTCTTAGCATTTTCTTTGTAAAAAAAAAAAAAAAAACTAAAATATAAACTAGTTGGTGTATAATAAAAAGTAATGAAATTCTGAGAAGAGTTTTATCTTAGGATGATAAATATATATGCAGTGTGTGTGCCAGTGTGGTATTAACAAGAGTAATAGTGCAATTTGATCATTTCCAGTACCATTTCTTAAGTTGAAGTGTTCATTAGCACCCCAAAATATGACTTTAAATGTACTGTTAAAAGAAATTGGCTTCTGATGCATGAACAGTTATACGTACATTGAAAGTAGTTCATAATAGTAGTTAGTTTAAGCCAAGTGTAGACAGTAACTCCCTTGAAAAAGAATTAAGCTGAGAGAGTTGACATTGCCTTAAAGGGCAGATCTAACCGAAGTTCCATCCTGTACTTAATATGTGATGTTTCACCATTATTTGGTAGGAATAGTGAAATTCTCACCAACAGATTGGTGGTAAGGTATGCTACTCTTTAAATGGCAGCAGTTATTTTTGCAGATTGGTACTCTAAGAAAGAAAACTGGCCTTTTTTTCCCATGTAAATAATTTGTCAGAAATTTCTCTCTCGGAGTTTTCCCTGTGTTCCCAGGATAGTGTCCAGGAGTAGATGAATAACAAAATCTATGAAGGACATCTTATTTTGATTTACTCTAGGGAACGAGTAGCTCATCCATGAGCCAAAGGGAAGCTATGACAGAGAGTCATGAGCCAGATTCTCTACTTCACTGTCTATAATACTCTCAGAGGGTATCTGTGAGAAATTCAAATACCATGGTGAAAAGCTCTGTAAACATGAAATCTAAAATGTAGATTTTTCATAATATGCTTATTAATAAATGAAATCTATGGTATGAGTTTAGAGATAATTTACTTCAATACAATGACCTTTGTTTTGGAAGGAACTCAGGTTTTCTTGCATTTGTTAAGATGTATTCTATTTCTGTTTATTTCAAAGAATGGAGAAGTGGTAACTGTTGACACTGCAGGGACTGTATAAAAAAGGCAGTTTTTGAGACTAACTAATCTACAAAGGGCAATGAAGACATAAGCTTGAGCAGTGTAAGCAAAACAGATTAGCTTTGATATTATTTGCATTGGATGGATACCATTCTTTGGAGGGTCTTTTTAGAGATGATTCTACTTGCTGCCTTATACTATGATAGCTTCATTCTCAGTGGTAGTCAAGGTTTTTCAAAAATTTAGTACCAGCAAAGAACTTGGGAGGTGAGAACTGAAGAACAGAAAAGGGACTAAAACTAAGCAGTTTATAAGGCTAGAGGGAAACAACCTAAGAAAGCTGAATTCAACCTTAGGACAAAGCTAGGACAAAAGTGAACTTTGCAAAGTAAACGGTTTGTGAGATTAAAAAAAAAAAATCTACCCTTAAGTAGATTTTTAATATTCATGTAGTAAAACTGGATTGTACAGCTAAGTAACTTCATTTTTTTGTTCTGAATTTAATACTTTTTAGTATTTTCTCAGAAAGCTGATATATAAATATTATTTTAACTAGTAACATTTACTATATGACTTTGAAGCCAGACTTAAATATCTTCCCTTCTAGGTTTACTCAGTGTACCTTTGCAAATTAATTGGAATCACTCCTATTAAGTTTTAGTTATACAGAAAGCCAAATATCAATGAAGGTATTTTTATTAATTTTCTTAATTAAAATATATTTAACACTATATTGATTTGAATTGAGTAGCTAATAAAACTTGTATATGACTCTACTGGAATTCTCAATTTGATAATTTTTACATAGCTTAAAAGTAAATACCAGGTATATGAAAAAATACTAAAACTTTTCATTATATAGATTCATTAATGCCAGGAACCTGTAGTTGTGGGAAAAAAAAACTTTTTTTTTTTTTATGGAGTTAACAGCACATATTTTAAAACCTATTTTTGAATTATAAAACTCTGATTATCTCTCCAAGAAAAATGATATAATTTTATAGTTAATTTCATTCTAGCTGAGCTTCCTCGTTTTATAGATAAGGAGTCAAACTCAGAACATGCCTGGCATTGTATGATAGCAACAGACTGAGTCTTACCCAGAACCACCATGTAGCTTATGCTGCAACACTATAGCTGAAGCGGTAGGTGACAATAGAAGAAACTGTGTAAATAGGGAAAAGAAAGAAACAAATAACATTTTAAGAAACAAATATTTTATTGTACATGTGAATAAGAAATGGATAGGTAATATGTGACTAATTTAACACACTTAAACTTGAGGAACAGAGCTGATGGCCTAAAAAGGTCTTTACAGTATAGAACATGGTAAAGAGATGTAAGATAAACTGCTAGAAATGGTAAGTTTAAGGTTGTGCGTATCTGCGGCTCTTGAACTTGAAGATTACTGTGTATAGATTGAACCCTGCCACATGGAGTATATTCAAAACAAACAAGACTTGTTACTGCCTTAAAAATACAAAATAACAGTACAAAAAATAGTCAAGCAAATAATGTTCCAGTTGAGCAAAAGCAGAATTTGTCTTCTCAAATATTAGAAATCTAGAATTAATTTTTTCTTGACCTTGACAAAATTATTTTCCAAATAGCTAGGAAAAATGGATACCTTCTGCATTGAATCCATGTAGCAATCTAAAAAACAAAATGCAATGATATTAAAAAGCTAATTTGTGACACTGTGATAATGTATAGATTTGTACCATAACTAATAATACATGCACACATCAGCTTACTTAATGCAACCATCCAACTCCTAACATTAGTCATTATAAAGAAACCTTATTCTCCAGCTGAATTTATAACTTGGATAAAAACCATGTCATGTTGGTACTTCTTTTTTGTTATAACATACATGTTTTAAATTATATTGAACCTGACTGAAATTATTTTACATTTTTGCTGTCTGAAGCGTAAGAGCTCATTGGCATTTGTTCTATTTCAGCTTAATTAACTGAACAAGAAGCTGTCTGCAATTTAAGGCAGAAGTCAGATGAATCACCAGTCTTCATATTCTTCTGAGCTGAGGTTCAAAGTAAAATCTTTTAAACATTGTTTCTCTCTGTGGATACCTGTGTACTTAGCTGACCTTTTTAGGAGTGGGGGTGGGCGGGGTTTACTAGGGATTGAAATCAGTGGCACTCAACCACTGAGCCGCATCCCCAACCCTATTTTGTATTTTATTCAGAGACAGGGTCTACATCCCCAACCCTATTTTGTATTTTATTTAGAGACAGGGTCTCACTGAGTTGCTTAGTGTTTCGCTTCTACTGAGGCTGGCTTTGAACTCACAATCCTCCTGCCTCAGCCTCCTAAACTGCTGGGATTAAGGCATGCGCCACTGCACCCAACAACTGACTTTAGTTATTAGCAAACTGCACCCTAAAGAAATTTAGTGAGAATGAAGCAATCAAGATAAACTATTTCCAGGCTTGTCCATAATAACAGATGAATTAAAATGTACAAAAAAGCAAAGTATAGATACATATGAGTAGTGTTCAACTCTTAGGATTATCATCTATTAACTGTGTTGACATGTTTTCAGCATAGAAGTCAAAACAATGATTTATAACAATCTACAATAATTTTTTTAAAAATTCATCCTCTATCTAAAGCATTGATGCTTTAAAAGTAAACTGGCTAAATAGCTAAAAAGTTCTGAAAGTTAGTGTTAATGAGTAAAAAACAGATCAACTGAGTACAGGTTATTTTATCTAGGTGATTAATTGAAGCCTTATTTTCATGAAACTTAACTGCTTTAGTTTAAAGAAAAGCAAATTTTGGTCTGAATTGCCCAGGTAATTTGACAGGTATTTTACTAAATATATATAGAACTTCCTTCAGACTATAAAACAACTAATACTAAAAGGATAAACAGATTATAACTTACATTTCATGCTTGATAAGATCTATTTAATGATAGCGATTCCCAATAAAGAATCATGCAGTTACATGTGTTATGATTTTTCAACCTTATGGGCTTTGAGAGACTATGAATGTGAGTTGGCAGTGGGAAGGCAGGGCAGGAGGGAAGGAACACACAGACTACAACACACATTAACAATCTTCTGGCTGGGACTGTTCTTCAAAAAAATAAAATTAAAAAAAAGTTCATTCTGCTGCAGCTAACTAGCCTCCATCTTATACCAAATACTATTCCATACCATGGAAGTGCTATGCAATAACTCTCCCAGGTAGCACCTTATACCACTTAAAAGCCTTTAAATCTCTTAATCTAAAAGTACCACAGTAAAATGTAAACACAGGCAAAAAAACCCTGTAATTACCTGATAAAGTCATCTATGTCCATGGAACGGGCCCGTTTGTCACTAAAACCTGTGCTGGTTAGGATTTGCTGTATTTTATCTGCTATGCTGAAATCTTCTGGTATTATCTATCAATATAAGATTCAGAATAAATGAACATATCTTTAATGAAGTTCCCTTGGCTCTTTTTTTGCCTAATCCAGTAAGTCCTAAATAGTCAGTTTTAATACATCTGTTGATGACAGCGTGGAAAACCTGACGGTTTGGATAAGACTGAGATCTCTAATTAGTTAAGCGGCTCATTTTTTACCACTTTAACACAGAATATCTTGAATGGGTATCATCTATATTGCCCGTTTCATCATTAAAATTCTGAAATACTCACTAATTTCAGACTTCATAAAGCTAGAAATTTTATTTAAAGCAGCTGTTACTCCTTTCAAAATTCTCACATTTTATTGCCACAATTTCATCTAACCAGTTAATTTTTCTGAGATGACCTGTCTCTGATCATTTAGAATATTAAGTGTTTCATATTTGATTCACATCTTCTACTCAAAAATTGTTCTTAATCCAGCTTAACAGTTTACTTAAGCTGATATTTCATGACCTACCCATAACATAGGATGGAGACAGTATTTGTGGTGCATTAAACCATATAAGATCTGAGCCATAAAAAGCAAACATCTCATCTTCATGTGAATATGCGCATGAATATACTGCATACTTTAAATCAGGAAAGGGAGTGGGGGCTACCTCCACGTGAAGGGGGCAGCTCTGACTCTTGTTTAAAAAAATGTGTGAATGTGTTAAGTGGTATGAAATTCACAACAAAGAAGTCTGCTATGTAGCCTATAGTGTATTGTATTACTTCAGTTTCTAGGTATTAAAAATATTTACAAAGGGACTGGAGTTGGGGCTAAGCAGTAGAGCGCTCACCTAGTGCGTGAGGCCCTAGGTTCGAGCCTCAGCATCATGTAAAAAATAAAATAAAGGTATTGTGTCCAACTACAACTAAAGAAATAAAATATTTTTTTAAAAAGTTTATAAAAAAAAATAGCTACAAAGAAAACTTTAAATTTGTAATTGCACACCAGTAATCCCAGGGGCTCAGAAGAATTGCAGTTGCAAGGCCAACCTCAGGGATTAAGTGAGGCGCTAAATAGCTTGGCAAGACCCTGTCTCAAAAAATTAAAAGGAGTAGGGATATGGCTCAGTGGTCAAGCACCCCTGGGTTCAATCCCCAGTACCAAAATAAATTAATTTATGATTGCTACATGAGTACCAAATGGGACAATCACAATTCAGAGGATAGCAAATTGTACACAATTATTTTAAAATGAGCAAGTTATACATTTATAGCATTGAGAAAAAACTTGGCTAAATCGGATTTTTTTTTTTTTTTGTGGGGAGGGGATGGGATACCTGGTATTGAACCCAGGGATACTTCTGAGTCACATCCCCAGCCCTTTTCTGGATTTTATTTAGACACAGTCTCACTGAGTTGCTTAGGGCCTCACTAACTTGCTGAAGCTGGCTTTGAATTCGAAATCCTCCTGCCTCAGCCTCCCGAGCTGTTGGAATTACAGGTGTGTGACACTGTGCCCAGCTAAATATAATCCTTTTTTTTTTTTTTAAGCTATTAGTAGTTACGACAGGGTAGAGTAGTCGGGATTGCTCAAGATCTATTACAGCATCTTGAGCAATCTCGACTACTCCACCCTGTCGTAATACCAGTCAGTATTCAAGTCAAAATTAAACTAGTTATATATCATATACTGTCTCTTAAGGATCACTGATATGTACAAAGTTAATCTCATGATAATAAAAAAAATAGATGAATATTTTATAACAAATAATTAAAACAACTTATACTTACAATATTATGGAGTGAACAGTGAATTCTGTAGTTTTTTTCTAACAGCTGTTGTACTGCACTTGATCTATAGCGTAAACAAGTGATATAAATATTACTTCCAAATCAGAGATTTTGTACATAATTTCTGTTCAGATAAAATTTAATCTATGTTCCACTTGCTAAAATTAAGGAATTTAAATAAAAAGGTGTTGAATACTTAAACTTTTATGATGCAAAAATTATTTTTAAAAAGCAGAGTCCTGATAAACATCTTTTTTTTTTTTTTTAAATGGACAAGATCCCCCCCCCCTTTTTTTTTTTGGTACTAAGGATTCAACCCAGAGGTACTATACCATTTAGCCACATGCCCAGTTCTTTTTATTTTTTATTCTGAGACAGGGTCTGCTAAGATGCTGAGGTGGGCCTCAAACTTGTCATCCTTTGACCTCAATCTTCTAAGTTGCTGAGATTACAGGTATCCACCACTGTGCCTGGCTACATAAGCATTTTTAAATCTCCAAACCGTATAAAGCTGGCTCGCCTCTTTTTTTCCTTTAGACCTTAAGTTGTGTTTCATTTTCCAAGTTAATAAAATGGCACAAATTATCCACAAATGTTAAATGGGTGGGCCATCATTACACCTTCTTTCTTTTTGGTAAGGATCTTCCAAGGATCCTCTACCACTAAGCTACATCCCCCACTCCTTTTTATGCTTTTAAATTTTGAGTCAAGGTCTTGCTTTGCCCAGGCTGATCTTGAACTTATAATGTGGTCTCAGCCTCCTAAGTTACTGAGACCACACAGGCACCACTGCACTCAGCTTATTACATTTTTCCGATAAGGGAGGGGGGAAAAAAAAACCTACACAAGTAGATGGTCAGGTCTTTTTTCCTTTTTCCCCCCCTAATTTTCCATAACTCTTATCTGACTCCAACTCTAGGAACTTTCTTCATGATATTATTCTGCCTTCTAAAGCACCGATAGTTAAAAGGATGAAGTCTGTCTGGATGAATAATCTTTATGCTTTGGGCTGGCTATTCAGGAAAAGGACCAGATTCTAGGATGGCGTCTGGGGCACTGGCCCTTCATATATTAGAAATTAGTAATATACTTACTTAAATGCAGCAGATAGTGTCTTGTTTTTCCTTACAAAAGTGATCCTTACTAGGCCATCCCATTCCTGAAACAGAAGATGGATATTTTCCTCAAAACACCAAACTCCTTGCCACTGCCTATTAGGTGTTGTTTTGTTCTTTAATTTGTCGACGGACCTTTATTTTACTTTATTCACTTACATATGGTGCTGGGAATTGAATGCAGTGCCTCACACGTGCTAGGCAAGTGCTCTACCACTGAGCTCCAGCCTGATTTTGTTTTTTGATGTATAAAACTGGAAGAAACCTTGAGTGATGAATATGGTATGCTAAAGTAAGATGTACTCTTGATTCTGGTGTCTTTGTGCACTTCACTGAATATATATTTTTTTAAATTAAGAAAAAAATGTAAAATAGTCCTGTATGTGACTAGGTTGGTCTTGAACTTGTGATCTTTCTGCTTCAGCTTCCTGAGTTGCTAGGATTACAGGCATATGTCACTGTACTTGGCTCCATGTTACTAGGGACTCTGCAGAAGGAGGACTGCAAGTTCAAGGCTAGCCTCGGCAACTTAACAAGACCCTAACTCAAAAGAAAAAAGGCTGGGGATGTAGCTCAATGGTAGAGTAAACCTGGGTTCAATCCCCAGTACTGTGTACAAAGTCCACACGTGAACGAAGAACCATATTGTGTTCAAAAATAAGATTCTGCCAGGCACAGTGGTGCATGCCTGTAATCTCAGCGGCTCAGGAGGCTGAGACAGGAGAATCAAAGTTCAAAGCCAGCCTTAGCAACAGTGAGGTGCCAGCAACTCAGTGAGACCCTGTCTCTAAATAAAATCGGAAAATAGGGTTGGGGATATGGTTCAGTGGTTGAATGCCCCGGATTCAATCCTTGATACCGCCCCCTCCCCCCCCAAAAAAAAGTTTCAGCCAGGTGCAGTGTCACACAGCTGCAATCCCAGCAACTCAAAAGTCTGAGGAAGGAGGATCACAAGTTTGACATCAGCCTTATTAACACAGATCCTCATCAACTTAGTGACACCTCATCTCAAAAAAATAAGAAGGATGAGGGTTGTACCTCAATGGTAAACACCTTTAGTTTTGATCTCTATTATCAAACCCACAAAAAATTAAAAATGAGATTCAAAACAGACATGATTTAGGATATAGCCTGTGTAATGCACCTAAACCTCCTTAAAGGAGTTATGGACAAATCACTTAAAACAAGTTTATCAAACAATTATGTTTTTCCATAAAGTGACTATAGTAAGATTTGACATCAAGTAGTCTAGATTTCTTTTTTTAAGTCACAAAAACAAGAATTTTTATTACAGAGTATTACCCAAAATATTACTCAAAACAATTTTCATTTTACCTTTTTTACAAGTTACTCAAATAGATAAGATTTTCAGAGCTATACTCTCTTAAGTGCAATGCATTTGCATTCTAATTGTGTCTTTTACAGACATATGTTTTGTCTTTCTATCATGCATCAAATTATTCCATCTACTCCATCATCACAAAGCTGTAATTCACATTTTCCTATCTATTTAGACCTACAATATTTTTTTTCTGCTATTATAGACACAGATTTTCTAAGTTAGAGTTCTTTTGTTTTAGAATGATATAGTATTTTAACCTCACCTGAAAATTGATAGGTGGTGGTGGATTCTTGGGTTCTATCCTTACAACACTGGATTCTACCTTGGGTGGTGGTCTGAAGTTATTCTTTCCAACCTGTTAATCAGAAAACATTTAATCCTCTCAAAAGCAACTTTTAGTTAGTAATCAAAGATTCTGTCCTCACAAAAGGCACAGCTAGATGCTCAAAAGATGAGGTTACTAGCCTATTTCAGTAATAAAATACACTTACTTTCATTAGATGGTCCACACGTGCTAATAGCTGTGTATTAATTGAGAGTCTGCAGTATAACTTATCTCCAGGTTTTGCAACCAGTCGGAGGGCAAATTCTCTTTGAAACATAAGTATAGCACATCTGAAAAGAAAACAAGAATAAGGAAATCATCACTATTAACTATGAATGTACTTTGACTACAATAAATTTTGAGGGAAAGGAAATAGCAGAGCAGTATCTGTAGTTGATGATGAGTTCAGCCGGTTAGAAGGTAGAAAACTTTAAGCTTTAGTTTTGTTACCACAAAATGAAAATAGTTGGCTTTGTTATGTTTTATAATGGCCATATCCCTAACCCCAAGGAAGACTGCTTGCCCTCAAACATCAGATGAGTAGGTACTTCAGATCTGTATCAGTACATCACCCCTTATACAAAAACAATAAAACTGATTCTGTTGTTGGGCACAGTGGTGCATACCTGTAATCCTAGCTTCTAAGAAGGCTAAAGCAGGAGGATCTCAAGTTCAAGGCCACCCCTGGCAACTTACTGAGACCCTGTCTCAAAAAATAATAAGGCCTAGGTATGTAAGTTCAGTAGTAAAGCACCCAAAGGTTCAATCATCAGTACTACATATAAACACACAAAATTGACTAGCAGAATTATATTTGTGTGGCAGGTAATACTTTAAGAAATACTGCAGGCTGGAAAGGCAAGTTGTGATATTATGTCCTGTTAGTTTAACAGTTTAAAGAATATGGACTTTTTTCTTCAAACAGGGAGACTTTGGGAGGCTAACAAAATCATCTTCAAAGCTGCATTTCAACTTTCTTTTCTGTGAGTGAATCACATTGAGAAATATATTTGCAATTACAAAAATATCTATATGTATTTCTGTTTATACACTTCAAACCAAAGTTTCATGAAACAATATCACCTGGACCATGTACAATGCCTTCTGATATATTCTATTCCATGTTATTAAAAAAAAAAGGATGATCATGACTCACTGAATTTACTTTATAACCATTAAGGGGTATCTGAATTACAGTTTGAAAGCCACTGGAAAGACTCTACCAGAGACCAGTTAGGAAGCCACTGCAATTTATGTAGACATAAGGTAATAAAATAGTATGATTTATGTTAATGGCAGAGGATTAGAAAATAGGGAAAGTCATACTACCCTCCCAATGCTCTACAAAATAACTCTGGTCAATTGAAAAAAGAAAAAGACCTCCATACAAATCAATGTTTTCTATAAAAAGTCTACAATAGTTTTTCAATTTACTTGACTTTCATTTTCAACTGTCTTTTGTGTTCCTGGCCTAAACTGTCCATCTTTCTTAAATATGGCAGTAACTCTTGTTTTTTTGTCACAAACCTGAAAAAAGGTCGGTGCAGCAAAAGCTTGAAGACAAAAGGAGAAGAGATCTGTAAGAGAATTACTAGTTACTCTCAGGAAAGACACATCATAGAAACACTTAGTAAGATGATTCTGACAACTTGAGGACATACCTGATAAGGCAAATTTGCCACACAAGTATCAAAGAATGGCAAGTCTGTTTTCAACACATCACCCACCATAACTTGAAGTTTGCTGGCCAGAGGTCTAATAATATGAAAATAAATTTAGAAGAATGTTGTTTCAAGAGACCGAAATGCACTTTAATTCTATTGTGTATACTCACGTGCCCTGAACTCTTTTGTGCAGTTCTGCTACTAGCCTTGTGTCAAGTTCACAGGCAATTACCTAAATTAAACAAAAAAAATTTATTAGGTTCATTATGAAAGTATCTTATTACCCAACCAGTAATTCTTATATGATTTAAACTGTCTTCCAATTTCTAACCATACTCCTTCAATTATTTTCTACCACTTTAAACAACAAAGAAAAAACATCACCCAGAAAAGAGGACATTTGGGCTGGGGATGTGGCTCAAGTGGTAGCGCGCTCGCCTGGCATGCGTGCGGCCCGGGTTCGATCCTCAGCACCACATACAAAGATGTTGTGTCCGCCGAAAACTAAAAAATAAATATTAAAAAAATTCTCTCTCTCTCTCTCTCTCTCTCCACTCTCTCTTTAAAAAAAAAAAAAAAAAAAAAAAAAAAGAAAAGAGGACATTATGTGAGATTCTCAAGTAATCACCAGAATTGTTCTGTTGGCTTTGTCTCTATGCTTTGTAACTAAGCAGTGGATAAAAAAGAATATACAATATGTATGTAGTGTTTTTAGACCAGAGTTTACAAAACTACTCCTAGTATATTACTTCTTTTATCAACTGAGATCCAGAACATGTGGCGTAAGTCACTTCTCAAGTGAAAATAGATAGCAGACAAAGCTATGTTTGTAACTTTATTGCAATATGTTCTTAGATTTCATTGACTTCCAAGAAGACCATGTGTATGGCTTAGAACACGTGCTGCTTATTTCTGGCTCCCAGATTCATTTTATATTTTCACCTTATATTTGATATTCATTTCACCTTTGCTTTGCCATATAAATGCTGTCCAGCTCCCTTATACTTTGGCTTCTGGTTGGGATTGGCCAGTGAAAGGCAATAGCTGGACACCATTGTGGCTCAGTGGTGGAGCATTTGCCTAGCATGTGAAGATTCTGGGTTCTATCCCCAGCACCAATAAATAAATAAAAGCACCAATATGAGTACCTATAATGGAGAGATTGGGTATTTATTTCCTAGCCTATTCCATGCCTTGTAGATATTTCAGCAGGAGCTATGTTCTGTTGTGGCTTCTCTTCAATAAATCACACTCTCCTTGGTCTCTCCCCTTTTAACCAGGCCTTTTGATGGTAACTGCTTCCTGCTGTAGCTACTCCTCATTATTTCATTAATGCTTATTGATTCCTTGAATCCCATTCCCATACATCTCTAAAGAGTCTTCATCACTCTCTTTAGATAAGCCCTTTAAAATGTGTTTCTTGCTTCCACCAAGGACCCAACAATGATTCCACTTAACTGAAAGCTGGATTAGTCAAAACACAAAAAAGTTACTAGAAGTGACCAGGTGGCACCTCAATCTTAGAGGCATGAACTCTAGCTCTGCAGGTCTTCTATAAATTTCTGGGTTCCAAAAATCACAATTTCTTTGCTTTGTTTCTCTAGGGCTAAAGGCGGTTAACTGATCTTTGTAATTATTTTGGGGTTTAGTGTTCCCATTTTGTTCTTTTAGTCCTCTAACTACAATAATTAATTCCCTGTCAAAATACCTAATATGTCAGTTTTCTTTTCTTTCTTTTTTTTAATGGTACCAGGGATTGAACCTAAGGGCACTTAACCACTGAGCCACACACCCAGCCCTTTATTTTGAGACAGGGTCTCCCTGAGTTGCTGAGGCTGGCCTTGACCTTGTGATCTTACTGCCTCAGCCTCCCTAATTTGCACAGGTGTGTGCCTCCATCCTCAGCTAATATGACCAGTTTTCCTAATATATTTCATACTTTCTAAGATAAAATTCCTAGTAAGGAATCAAGCATTACAATTAAGACAGTTTTATGTTTGTATACCAGCTGAGCTTGCTACAGTCATTTGTGATAGTAAAACATTAAACCTCATTTTTACCTTTTTTGCCTTTTCTAACAACTTTACAGTCATGTTGCCAGTTCCAGGTCCAACTTCCAGCACCACATCCGTTGGTCTTAGGGCAGCCTAAAAGCAAGCACAACCACTTGAGATCCTATAGCATTTTGGAACACAGTTTATACTTGAACATCTTTGTAAGCGTTCAGAGATCTTACTCGGACTTCATTTTAATGAGATTTCTTCATATGTGTGGTTCCAAAATTAATATATTAGGTGCAAATGAAAAGCTGAGACCTCTCTTAACCTGGGGCATACTTCTCATCTTTAGGAGTCAGAAAAACAAGAATAGCATTTCTTTCTAAATTGTCTTTCTACTTAGGAAATGATTCCAATAGCATCCTGTTACCAACTCTGTTCATACCAACAAATTCAAATGGGAAAGAACTGTGTATGATGAATTTGACTAAGAATCAATATTTCTCAATTCTGACCCAGCCTGTGAGTCCTAGACCATTTTTTAATTCGTTCAACAAATATTTACCAAACATCTACTTTATGTCCCTCTTCGCTTAAGTATGGTGAAAATAAAATTAAGAATCCAACAAACTCCTCTCTCCCGTTCCTCCATCACACCCACCTTATCGATAATGCTGTTAACAATGAGAGGATTTTTCAAAATGTGTTGCCCAATCCCCGTGTTGAACATGAGTCCTGGAAGAAAACACAAAACAGCCTTAACTTCTCAACCACGATTAGATATCAGGCCGTCCCAGAGAAGAAAGCGGGATCGGTAGTGGGGTTAGATTACTGTGCCAACGAAGCCAGCGAAGATCCCACCCCGGGCGGGGACTGACCACACTGCTTTAAGTCCATCCCCCCGCGGGCCTTGTTTGAGGCGACGCGCTGGGCTCTGGGGCCGGCGCTCCAGGAACCTCCGACATCCGCGCTTTCAGGAGCGCAGGTGGCGGCGGGCCATCTACCCGGGTTTGGGCCTCGGTCCGCGCCAGGAATGGTCCCGCAGGAAGACTGGACCGGAACCCTGTTTCCTCCCGGCTGTCCACACCTCCGGCGCTTTTTAGCTCCCGGCGCTGTTCCTGTCGCTTGCGGCAGCCGCTCGCCCCTGACTTGATCTTCGGCATCCCTGCAGAAAGCGGGAATCTAGGCCCGCGAAGTGAACAAGTCCCAAAGCTTGAAAGCTATAGTCTCTGCAGCACTAGAGAGACGCTGCCAGTCACGGTACGCACGACGTGGGGAAGGGGCGAGGCCCAAGTTCCGCCTCCGTACGCCCTGGACTCCTCCTCCAGAAGGGTGCTGAGCGTGGAGCCCAGGGGTCGCCGGAAATTGTAATCAGCAGCTGCAGGAAAGCCTGGACTCGGGAGCGACGAATCCCAGAAGGCCCCGCGCCACCGAGTCTGACAGTTTGGATTGGCTGGCTTAGAGTTGGGGCGGGGTACCTCGTCGCCGTCCACAAGGAGCTAGCGGAGAAGCTGTGTGGTACTCTAAGCGTAAGGTTTAAGTTATTTAATGTGGTTAAGCCTCCTCTAATAGGCCAGGTTCTGGGATCGCTGACATCCAGAGAAGTTTTCTTTCACGTGTCTCTTTCCTGCTTACGTGCAGATTGCAGGGTGGAAACTCCTTACGTTTCTCCTCTGCTTGCTGTATAGAAGGGAACTCCGAAAATGGAATTAGCCTCTAGTTCCACTAGCGCTTCTGATTCCTTTACTTCCCTTTGTGCTTCATCATTCATTCTCTGTACGTTTTTTTTTTTTTTTATGAGCCCCAGCTGTATATAGGCCACTGCTGGAAATTCACGGTTACATATTAGAGACTGCTCTCAAAGTTTATTCCACTGAGAGATCAACCAAAAGCTCCAAAACGCTGTGTGGTAATACGTATGTATTGGGTGTTGTAATGGGTGTGTCAACCCGACTGTAACCTCCATGAATACAAGATCTGCGTCAATTTCACCTTCCAATGTAGTGGCTCTCGGTTTTAAAAATTTCAGTGTATACTCTATGGAAAAAAGTCTTTTCCTGTCATTACTAAAGAAAACTGTTTTGCTGAGCAATTGATTGTGTGCATTCCCCCTTGTTTTCGTATCACAGTTTCACAGTTTGTGTTTTTCAAAATGCTTTCTACATAATTCTTATTTTCTATTATTTTTTTTTCTTTGGTAGCAGGGATTGAACCCAGGGGCGCTTAACTACTGAGCCACATTCCCAGTCCCCTTTAAATATATTTTTAGAGACAGGGTCTCACGGAGTTACTTAGGGCCTCGCTAAATTGCTGAGGCTGGCTTTGAACTCAAGATCCTCCTGCTGCCTCCTAAGTCTCTGGCATTACAGGCGTGTGCCACCAAGCCTGGCTATTTTCAATGAAACATGAAGTCGTTTGGGCAAGCATGATTATCGTGTTTTACACTTGAGGGAATCCAGTCTCATAAAGAATAAAGGTATTTGCCTAAATGCTACAGGTGTCAGAGATGGGGGTGGAACCTAGTTACTATGTCAAAATAAGGCACCAGCCTACCTCCTGTGGGCTTCATTGGTTTCTACTTCCAGCTCTGTGTTGGCATCATAGTCCTTTGCCTTCATTGGTCAATGGACAGTGAAGCAAAAAGGTACTAGCTCAGACATTCCAACTATAATTTAAATAAATTTTATTTTTTTTAATGACAATCTAAAATAAGATCCAGAGGATCTGAAAATATTAAGTTTAAAGATTAAATCTTTGACATGAATGTTAAAGTAAGCTATGTCTGTGTTGGAAATGTAACTCAGTTGTAGAGCACTTGCCTACTATGCTAAAGGTTCTGGGTTGGATCCCTAGCAATGAGAAAGGGAGAAAAAAGGCTACATCCAAGTTAACAATCAATGCATAAAGTAAGTAAAGCTAATTTTATTTTTTCCACTCCTATGAATTTCCAGGGACCCAAAGATAGGACAGCTACATTGAAAACAAAATCACAAAATCAAACAAAAAACAACTTGTAAAAGTCCTGGAAAATACAGAAAGTAGAAAAAAGGTGAAAATGTTACCTATGATTTCATTATGCTGGAATAATTTATGATCAGTTTGACACATTCTTTCTTTTTTGTTGTTTTAGTAATGCATGTTTTTACATAGTGAGGGTATACATACAATTTACTGGTTTTTTTTTTTTTCCATAAATACGATAACATAAAAGACACTTGTGTCTATAAGTGTAATTCAGTAGTAGAGTAAGTGCCTGGCATGTACAAGCCCCTGGGTTTGATCTCCAGTACCACAAAGAAAAAACACTTTTTCAAGTAATTTCATACCCTGGATAATCAATATTCACAGCTCCTGAAGAAGAAGATTTCATCTTGTGAATGTATATGTTTACTAGTAAATCATTTCTGTACCATTTGTCATGTAAAAAAAATTGAGTCTTATACATTTTAGTGCATTCATGAAGAATATTTCTATATACTTTAGTATAAAGTTCCAAGAATGAGATTATTTAGTCAAATTATATGAACATTTTAGTTTTTGGATATATATTGACAAATTATTTTCAGAAACAGTTTAATCAATTTTCATTTTCACCAGAAGAATATGAGAAATACCCACTTCACTTTATTTTTGCTATTGTATTTCTTTTTCCAAACTAGAAATAATTGTATTTATTATTTTGAACTGTTCAAGCATTACTTGAATAAATACATAAATAAAAACCATTTAGATACTAAAAGATTGTAGATGATGAAACTATCCAGAATTCACACCTATTAAAATATTGGTGTATGTTTTTCAAAATTTTTGGATACATAAAACTCTTCTAACTTCCTATTCTTACTTAACTAAATATTCTGGGCATCTTTTAATATTAATGAATAAAATCTGCATCATTTTTAACAGGCATTCAATTGAATGAACATATCATAGCTAATATAATCAATCTTTACTAAAAGAATTTGTTATAGTTTGAAGTTTTGAATAAAAATTAATCTATGAATTATAGTAACAAAGATGAAATCATTTCTCAAAGTCTTAATCCTTATATGGTATGTTATAAACATCTAATGGGTAAACTTGTAAACATCCAATGAGCTGTATTATAACATAGACTTGCTCAAGTCCTAATTTTGTACAAGTTGCAATAATAAATGAAGTGTAGTAAGTTAGAAAGCCTATGGCCCTATAATATGTATATATTTCTCTTGCTGCTTTAACAACATAGATTTATTATCTTGGGATATGGAGATGAAGTTAAGAATAGTCTACAGGGCTTTTTTTTTTCTCCCAGAGGCTGTGGGGAAAAAAACTTTTCCCTTATTTTTCCAATTTCTACAGGTTGCTCACATTCTAGCTCATGGCCCCCACACTGCTCTGACTCCTACTAGCATGGTCATATTTTATTCTTTCTGACACTTTTTAAAATAAGTGCAAATTATTTATATTGATTATTTGAAAGGGAGCAACTTAATGCCTAATGACCCCGGCCATTTGGAAGGAGCCTGGAAGAAAGCAAGAAAGTTCAGAAGTCAGTAACTCATTGTCAAAAAATACATGCTCTGAAGTTTACTTTCTTTATTCACAGAAAAGCTCCTCTGTCCATTATTCAGTCTCTTTATTCTTATTTTAGGCCCTAATAGTTTAAAAATAAGCATTATTTTAACTTTAAAATATTTTGGAAAGCATTGTCTTTGTTGGCCAAAGAAAGGAATGAGTTCTGTCCTTTAGTTGGGCTGATACCCTGTGGAGAGGTAAATGTTTCAGGACACCTAGAGACCTGGATTCCTCAAAATGTCCCTTTGCTTTCCCCTTATTTTCTATTAAAATTATAATAATCTTTTAGATATAATCACACAGATTTTTGCTCTGATGGTGTGATAATTTACACTTGTATGTACTTGTACAGACAGAGTCTGCAGCTCTGCTATGCTCAGGAGGAGAAAGTGTTGGAACTTTCATGGCCTTTTTTTGGACAAATGAGGCTGATAACAACAGGGTTCAGTCATATCTTTATGACCTGATTGGGCAGGCTTAGTTGGCACACCCCTTTTCCATCTTTGGATTTGATTTCTTGTAAGAGCTTTGCAAGCATTCATGTGTTTAAAATTTATTAAACAGAGTGTATAGTTTTAATTAGAAAATGACTATATGAACTATTTTACAGATGATCATGGGAGAAGATAAAACACAAGAATGTCATTCATTTCATTATTTTTGATGAAGTTAGAAAAATTAAGTACTCTGACTTTAGTAATATTCAAATGAAAAACTGACAGCTTGAATACATTTGAAATCATTGTCACAGAAGATTGGGGTTAGTTTTAGTCCAATAGTGTGCCTAGTTTTTTTTGGTATAAAAAGTGTGTTTAAGGCAATTTCTCAAATCTTCCTTCCAAGCCCCCTCTCTGAAACTCTTGATTTTTTTAAAAACCCTCTTATGAAAACTCCAATGATTACATTTGATCTGCAGGATAATCTAGAATTATCTTCCCCTACCAGGATCCTTACATTGGTAAAATCTCATTTGTTATGTGAAGTAATACATTCACAAGTTTGGGGATGCGGATGTGGACGTGTTTTTTGTACCTGCCATTATATACATACTGTATCTGAGTTTGAGTCTGTGCTCTTCCACTTAAGAATCTAACTTTGGAAAAATGACTTAATTCCTATGAACATCATCTTTTAATCTGTAAAATGAAGAAAAGACCACTCTCCATTCTCGATGAGGGTGATGAGAATTTATAAGTTACATAAGATGTCACAAGTTAAATGCCAGTCCTTAAAAACAGAACAGTAGTTGACATATAGGAAATTCTAGTTTGTTTTTGTTTTTTAAACAGGGTTTCTCTTGAGTTGTGCAGGCTGGCTTTAAACTTGTGTTCTTCTTACCTTAGCCTTTCAAGAGGCTGAGGCTGCAGGTGTATACCACCATGCCCCACACATAAGAAGTATTTATTGGAAGTTAATTATAATAATGTAATTATTGAGGCAGAATGAGTGTTACTTATTATTGTGATGAGTTTTTTTAATTTACTTAAGATTGACAGGGAGTGGAAATCAGTGTTTTTTTTTTTTTTAATTTAGCATTTGCTTCATTAACTTTCTGCTTTTCCTTTACTTTCTCAGCTATATATGGGGGAAAGATTTCAGATGTATCCCAACAGGCACAATGGTGTTAATTTAAATATTTGTTTACTCTTTTCTCTAAAAACCCTGAGAAAATGACATGATTTATTCAGTTGTACATATTTATTTTGTTCATAGTATGTGACTAGCTTTTATATTCACAGTACCTAGGACTCCCAAATGGATTTGGTATCCTTACATTATTGGTAAAATTTGCATACATGCATTTTTATGGTTTGGTTT